CAGAATAATCCAGAAGTTGCTCCGGTCTCAGAGAATGGAAAAATTCATGTAGAGGCAAAGTCTACTCCTACTGAAAATGGCAACCTTTCAGAAACTCAGGATAAAGATGTTGTATCTGAAGGCCTTGGAATAGTTAGTGTTTATGACCAGTGGATTGCACCTCCAATCTCCGGTACACGTCCAAAAGCCCGATATGAGGTATTGGACTTGTATGTTTGTATCATTTCTCTTACTATATATTCTTTTTCTTTTTAAATTATCTTTCTGTAGCTGTTAATAGAGCTTGATTGTATTCGCAGCACGGATCAGCGGTTATTGATGATAAGATGTACATATTTGGTGGAAACCACAATGGCCGTTACCTAAATGATCTCCAGGTACTGAAACTAAAATTCTTGCTGCCTGCGTGCTATGTGCATGTGATCTTAGTATTATAGCATACAAAATAATCCTCCTCAAATAAAATTTCATATAGCTGAATTTTCAGCTTCTAATACATGCAAAAACAAGAAACATCTCGAGTTTTTTGCATCCAAAAACCTAAATGCTCTAGAAGTTGCGCATGAGGTCTTATATTCTCCCCTTGTACCGTTTTGTATTTTTGTCTTACTAGACATTTCACTACCATAATGTTTGCATTAGTTGATTTCGATCTCTTCTCTTGAGGTTGCTGAAGACATGACTTCTGTTAGTTTTTCTGTTTCCGTGAACCAGGTTCTGAATTTGAGAAGCTGGAGTTGGTCCAAAGTTGAAGTTCAAGCAGGATTAGGTGGTATTACAACTCCATGTGCTGGCCATTCATTGGTTAGTATAAAGAGTAATGGTTTACCTATCAAATGAAAAGTCTTTGTTAGCTACGGTCACTTTTGATTTAACAATTGAGTCACAGTCTCAAAAAGTTTGTATTTTCAGTTCCTACTGTAACATATTTTCATTCCCATCTTATTAGATACCGTGGGATGGGAAGCTTCTTTCAGTAGCTGGACATACAAAAGATCCATCTGAAACCTTACAAGGTAATCATGCTAGTGCTAATAATTCGATTGTGATTTTTTGTTGTATTGTAGTCTGCGAGATTTAAAGAAATGATTTTTTCTTTGTAAAATCCTCAAACTGGTTCATAATGCTAAAGGAATCATGTCGAAAGATTTTGATATGAGTTGTCTCTGCTCTTTTATCTCAAAGATGACAAGAGATATTATAAACAAAATAAAATATTCATGGTTAATTGCCCACGTCTTTTTTCAAGTTTTTATGTACACGTCATCAACTTTAAGCATGTTCAGATTTTTTGCCATTCATATCTGAACCCCTTTAATTGAATGCATTAGCATTATTCTAAAACATGGTTTCTGTTCGATGCCTTTTCTATTCTTGCTCATTCTATCTGCATTTGTTTATGTCTGCTATCTGTTTTTGCCAACATCACTATTTTTGTGTCTTTTCTTTCTTCATTGAAAGTAATTTCCTGGCCTCGGTTTGAGTTTGTTTTCCTCTAAATCCTTCTAAACTTTTTACGACAGTGAAGGTGTTTGATCCGCAAGCTCTTACATGGTCAACCTTGAAGACTTATGGAAAGCCTCCGGTACATTTTTATTTATACCAAGATAATCTTTTTCCTTTTTAGGTAGTGCCTAGTAAATTTGTTATTTCTAGTTACTTCTACGTTTATTGTATATTTTCTTGTGAGTTCCATCCTCTTACGCAACTAACAGCTTTTTATATTATAAGCTAATATATAAAACTTTGTTGGTCTTGATGAAAGTATGACCTATTTTTCAAATGGTTCGAACATGAATATTATGACCAGTGAGTAGTGATAATTATGATCTGGCAATGCTTCTAACTTGCATAAAATTGTTTAGCTGAGTTTTATTTCCTATGATTGTAATAATAATAAGTTCACTGTATTTATTCTGAGAATTATTTTCATGCTTTCTTGTGCTTTAGGTTTCTCGTGGAGGGCAGTCAGTGACCCTTGTAGGAATGACTTTAGTCATATTTGGTGGACAAGATGCAAAAAGATCTCTTTTGAATGACCTGCACATACTGGACTTGGAGACCATGACATGGGATGAAATGGACTCAGTGTAAGGTTTTCTATATATGTGGAACTTCAGAATTAGACTATTTGGTTTCAGATGTTATATCTATTTTATATGATCATGGAACGATGATGAATTTGCGAACCCTCCAAGCTATTTTTCAAGTCTATTGTTCAATATTGAATCGGCAGAAAAGAAGATTTATATTTGAATCGTACATGATAGATGTATACAATTAAAGAGAAGTAGAGGAATGGAAATACTATCCCTATAAATATGGTTCAAAACCAATCCCTATTAATGTAAAATGCCAACATCAACTCCATAGATTGACCTATTTATGAAGTCAGACATTGATAAATTATCACATTTAGCTATACTACCCCTCAAGCTGGTCAGTGTATGTAAAACATCCTTAGCTTGCCAAATATTATTTGAAACACGACAACATTGCTCAATCCTCTGTCAGAACATCTTCAAGTCGGCCATTTCTGGAACATATGGTATGAAATGAGATTTCTCTTACCTTCCCAATGATAAAATGTCTATCTACTTCGACTTACTTTGTATGGTCATGTTGCAAAGGATTGCTCGCAATATTAATTGTTGATATATCATCATATAAGAGTCTCATAGGTGCCTCCAGTTCAGTCTTTAATCTCAAGAA